CTACATCAAAGCAGGAGGAAGGGCGTGGTGGCGGGAGTCTCCCGCTACGAGCTGGTGCGGAAGAATGAGCATGGTGCAGCCGGTCGAGATACTCCCTCCAAATGTGGGTCGACAGCCGTGCGATTTACTTTACTTTAAATGCTGACATCTCAGTAAAGTTTGCGATCTTGCCTTTTTTTATTCTTGGTTCTGCCGGCAATTAAAGGTAACACAAAGTTTTGGTATGGGGTCATGAATTTGGTTGAAATGACATATTGGAAGCATATGCGATTTTACAATATTCAATGATCGTTGTCGCGGTTGAAATCGAGTCTAAAATGATGACATTGTAAATAATAAACTATTTATGTTGTATAGCTCCCTCTCCAGGTTGATATTACTTTATCCTTAAACAATGCTTCGTGGCTAAAATCGACCAATTTGCTGTTTTGTTTGGAAATTATATATCAAAACTGCATATTCTGAGATTTTCATGGTTGCAGCTACCATGGAATGACCATAGACGCTATTTCAAAATTTTTGAAATTTACCGGGAGTACCGGTAAATTGTTATTATTCAATTTACTCGAAAGCAGAAATGTTTTAGGGGCTAAAATTTTTAGTGCTTATACTACATCCACAGGGACATCAAATATATTAAAGCTAATCTGCCATAGTTTACAGGAGGGATTAGACCGCCCTGCAAGGTCACTGGACAGGTGGTTATCTCATCAACTCAGCTCTCAGTTAACATAAGAAAGAGGATTATGGGGGACCAATGGTCACCGATTAGGCATTGTTTGTTATATAGAGGGCGCAAGTAGCTACAAGTAGTGCAGTGGGCTTTTAAGATTTTGAAAAAAATACCATCCATCCAATTTTCAAAATTTCCCAAAACTTTGCATTACCTTTAATGTAAAAATTAATGCGAAGTAAGCCTGCACATGTCCTGTACAGTGTGTTCAACATTCAAGAGCTTATAATTTTCCACCACTCCACCAGTATATATTTTCTTTTGGTATGGTGTCTCTGAACTCTCAAATACCTCTCGATGCCCTGGAGATCAGCTACATCAGCGAGTTGTTTGGTCCATATGACTGCAGACCTAATAAGAGATTGAAGTTGATAATATTATAATAAAATTATGATTTGTAAATAATGCTAGAGTCTAATTGCATTATATATTTTGCTACCTGTATATACTTTCTTTTAGCATGGCATCATTTGACCTTAACACACCTTTAGATGACATGGAGCTCAAATTTATCAGCAGGAAGCTGGGCCTTTGTGACTGCATCATCCTCAGTGAGAGCCTCTGTATAGGGACCCCATTAGAGGACTTGGTAAGGCAGTACCAAGAGAACAAGTATGCTCCCAGTGGAATGCTCTTCACATGGCACTCCAACCAAGACCCAGCAAAGGAGAGAAGTTTGATGGTAAAGGCTTTGAATCAGAGCTCGCTAATTAGCCTTGCAGAGACAATCCGAATGGGTAAGTTGTTGAATTAAATTGAATTTATTTTCCTCATAAAATGAAATAATAGTGTACAAAATTAACTTGGTTTTCCCCTGCAATACCAAAGCAAATGGGTACATAAAGTAAATAAATTACAAATTGAAATTGAAATGAAGTTAAAAACTACAACGCTTTTACTAATTCTTAACACATACAATTTTACTCATAGGCACACAAAAATGCCTGACTCATATTCTTTACTTGAATGTATTGCTCAATAAAGGTGACGTATAGGCCTACATGTATATCTCCTTTGTTGTAAAAGGATGTTGTTACAGTGAGCTACACGCCCACACCGGGAGGTGTCTCACAAATTCAACACTCTTGGCCATTGTTACAAATTAAGATTATTTTCCATTAGTCTTTGTTGGCATTAGTGTTATTCTTGATATAATTTCGTAGCTAGGAACAGGAAAGTCTTGAGGTCTGACATGATCATTGGCATAGGGTCTTGGCACTCCTGATTGTTGGAAGGTTATTCCACAGCAGTTTAGGTCCAGAGAGTCCAGAGTGAGGTCCAAGTTGTGCGACTGAGAGTTTCTGTCAAGCGAGCTTGTTTTGCTCATTCTAGACTGTGGCTACTCAGACTACTTTCTACAAATATAAGATGGTGGTACTTAACTTTTTGGCACTGCGAATCCATCAAAAAAATTTCTTCAGCAGTTTACACCCAGAAAATAGCTGGACATATCATTCTGTGCTGCCCGAGAGAATTGAAAAACTGAAATTTCAGTCAAATTGGCCATTTCTTTAATTGCTGAATGAAATTTAAATGAATAATATCAGCAATTGATCTATCAGCAATTGATGTTTATTATGATGATGATTATTATTTGTATTGCACTGTTGATAGCTTCTTGTATAGTGTTGGTATTCGCCTCCAAAAGGCACTAATGGCACTTGCTCTATAATGTCTCAACAATGTTTGAAGTTAATTCGGACAATGAATTAGGTCTTGAAATTGAAAGGAGAAAATGATTTTTATTTTGAAAGGAACTTTGTTTGAACTCTTTCAGAATCATGGGGGGAAAATAATGGGAAAAGGAGTTTGACATTTGGTGCTCCATGAATCAGTGTATTAAACTAAACATGTCCATTTAGAGCTGGAATCATACACTTGTGAATACTCACCAATGATCTTAATTCCCTTCTCATTGCAGGTTATCAGCATGATGCAACTGGAAATGCAGTAGCTTCAAATTTGAATATGGGGTGAGATCTAATAGTTAAACTTTGTAGAAAATTAGAAAGGTATGATTTTCTTTTATTGTAATATAAGAGCCACTTTCCCCCTTCACATAAAAGCCCCCTCAAACCTGATCGGTGCCCCTTTTCTTTCAACAAATGCACATAAGAAGTACGTGCCCCACTTTTACTTCTGATTATTACCCTCTGTACTTCAACACGTGTCCTTTTCTTTTTTCTAATAGGTGTCTTAATCAGTTATATACAAGTGTCGATCCCTTTACTTCATGATACCCTCTGAAGAGGAAAAGAAACAGCGCCATCTAATCATCAGTGATGAACAACTAAAAAAAAACAGTACAGCCAGGCAGAAATAATCTTTTTAGATTGGTCAGCCTTAAAGGTACTATGTCCCATTTGCAGGCCCAAAAAATGAAAAAGTTAAATTCCAACTGCATTTGAAAGATAATACTAATTTAGAACTTCCCTAAAACAGGTGGGGCTTGAAAATGTCTTCAAGTGGGAAAATAACGACTATTAGTTGTCAAATCGACTTTAGGGCTATAGGGTGGTATTCCGGTAGCGCGTACTAAGTTAGCGCGTGCTTAGTTAGTTCACACTTTTATGGAGTGCCTGTTGTGAACTAATTTACCCTGAACAGATTATTTTAATCCTTCAATGAAAAGTGTCCAAAAAATTAATTTTGCACTGAAATAGGAAGAAAAAGATAATATGAGTATACACTAAATTTCAACAAAGTCCTTGGTAGATTATCTTTGTCATGAATATTGAAGGAGGAAGATGAAACCTAGCATTCCATAGAAGTGCGAACTAAAATTCTTGTTTAGTCTGGACTTAGTCCCGGCTTAACTTAAGAGAATACCACCCATAGAGCCTAAAAGTAATAGTCTTGATTTTCAGACAATTGTACCGAATGGTCATATGTTTTATGCTGCGCAAAGATTCAATCAGTTTAATCTTGGCCATCACAAGAAGTGGGTTATTGATGTAGACAAATGCTCATGTACCCTTTACAACTCTTTTCATGTATGTTATTACCAAAGAAGAAAAAAAGCCAGTCAGTCACTCAATAGTGTCTGACAGTGAAGTCTAGCAAGTAAACGGGTTTCCTTGCATAATTTGAATATGAGGAGACTGCTAACGTTTAAATTTCACAGATAGGACATACATGACATATTCATAATTCCTGCAAAGTTCTACAGAATTTGAGGTTGGCTGCAAAAGGGACATAGTACCTTTAACACCCAAGAACAACAACAACAACAACAACTTTTCATCATTATAACGTGCCCCTAATTTAAAGCGACTAAGAGCAATTTCTGCCAAAACTCCCTCGCTACACTCACTCGCATTTATAAATGGTATAACTGTGTTATATGGTTATATCAAAGGTCTTTTCAGTCTTCAGTTATGAGAATGTGCTGGTTTGGGTTTTTTTCCTATTTATACTAGTTGTCTTTTTTCCTCTGAGACCTCGCAATCTTCTTTTTGTAATTCTTAAATTAATATTCAGACCATCACACCTAACTGCAAAGTATGATGTATAAAGAGAAACAAATGCTGAAACCATACCTGATAATAAGCACAATGTAGGGGGATTTCTCCAATGTCTAAAAAAATTGTATATTTTCGCTTTGCGATTTCCTAGCTTTCATGACTTGTGTAGGCGCCTTTTTTTTAGTTGGTGCCACCCCCCCCCCTCATTTTGGAAGTCGCTCCGTCGCCTCTCATTCTTCCTCCTCTTCCTCCTCTTCCTCCTCCTCCTCCTCTTCCTCCTCCTCCTCCTCCTTCTTCTTCTTCTTCTTCGATTAGTCTATTCCTCATTACGTCATATTCGGGGAATTCCCCGAATATGATATTCATAAGTAGTCTTTAACTAGGCAAAGAGAATTCAAATGCTAAATTAACGCAGGCAGTCTATATGTCGTTAGATCAATTTTTTAGACATAAATTCGCTTTAATGTTGTTTCAATACATATTTTCTTCAAACATCAATAAAACGTACAGGTTAAACGTAAAAAGGAAGATTTTTATTACAGAAAAATCTAGAAACCGACTGAAGCTAAGTTGCATTATGAGTTTGCGCCTGCGCGAATGACGTTGTTGACGTTATCGCGATTGTGCAGATTTCTTAAGCCTAGCTTTGAAGGCTTAAATTCTATTTAACCAGGGTGTGAGACCTTAGCTCCCTGATTTAACTAACAGGTGAGATCAGATATTCATTGTGATATAGAAAGAACCCAACTGAGGGTATACAAATTAATAACAATGACATATCAGCTGTGCTGAGCTGTGTTGACTCACTGTTGTTGTCTGATGTGGTGGTGTGAACAACTACAACTTAAGTGTGTTGTGTATAATTGAACCTTGAATCCAATGATAAAGGAAGTTGTATATACGATAAGAAGGAAGTATATACGTATATACGATATAGGGACGTTACAAAAAAAATTAAATCTCAGAATTCAAGCTCTTGCTTTATGCCATTAGACAGAGCTTGATAAGACCTTTTATTTGATGCCTCATTCATCCTAATGTAATAGCCCCAGTAATAAGAAAGTTATGCCAATTTTAAACGCCCGGAAATCATGTATTTAATTGCTTTGTTTTCCTTTGTTTTTAAACCAAAAGTTGTGATCTCAAATGTGACCGAAAGATTCTATTTCATTACATATAATCGCCCCAAAATGTATGTAAATACACAAAAAATGCTAATTCGGCCGTCATTTATGCATGACATTTTCACATTCCTCATAAAAAAAAAACATATTTCTAATCGATAGATTTTGCTGAAATTTCACCAAAAGCAAATTCACATGTTAACCAATCATCCTAGATACTTTTTTTCAAATCCTGTAGGTGGGATCAGGGTACAGAATGGCACTAAACACGGCTCTTGTGAAACAGTGCCGCAAAACAAACTGCCGAAAACATAAATCATAAAAAGTTTAGTATGAAATGAAAGATAACAATGTCATTCTTCTCATCCAATAGAAATCATGAAACAAAAATCTAATCAGCCCATCAAAAGATCACATTTACCTAGGCTATCCAAATTGGTCTCCAATAGTGCATAACAGCCCCATGGCAGAAACCTTCATGGCGAAAGCACACACATTGTAACGTACCTATACGATATAAAGGAAGTTGTATATACGATAAGAGGTTGTATGACAAAGGAATTTACAAATTAAAACATATTCTGGAAAACGATGGTAAACTAAAAAGTGACAGGCATTTTATCGATTTAGGTGTTGAAGTAAATGAAATTGAAAAGATCAAGCACTTTTATGCCTGTTTACCAGTTTGTTGGAAAAATAATTTTAGAAAGGGAGAAGAAAAAAATAATTCTGGAACTGATTTCACTTTGGGGAAGAAAACAACTAATATAGCTGATCTAAAATCAAAACAAATTTATGTACAATTAATAAAGAAAGATGATTTTAAACCTTTGGTTTTTGAGAGAATTGGAAGGAACTATGGTTTTTCCTGTAAGGAAATAGAAAACATATTTTTAAGACTAAGACAGTGTACACTTAACAGTCGATTAAGAGAGTTTCAGTTCAAACTTATACATAATATATTATATACAAACCATCACCTCTTTCGTTTTGGTCTTGTCTCGACTAACTTATGCTCATTTTGCGAAAAAGATGAAGAAACATATAAACATTTATTCTATACTTGTGAATTTGCACAATCAGTGTGGGGAATGTGCACGAGATTTTTAGACTTTGAAATACATAACTGTAGTTTGGAGGAAATTCTGTATGGGAAAGAGGAGAGAAATAAAGGAAAATATCAATTAATGAATCATGTTTTAATTCTTGTTAAATATCTGATTTATAGAAATAGAGAACTTAAAAAACCACCCTCTTTTAATGAAATAAAGAATAGTATAATAGGGGATAAAGTAGAAGAAAGGAAATTGGCAGCAATGAGGGGAACTCTCACTATTCATTTTCTAAATGGGAAAACCTGAGTATTAGACAAACAATTGGAACCCAGAGCCAGTCATCCACCAGTTAAGAGGGGGGGGGGAGGGGGATAAGGGAGAGGTCGGGTAGGGTAGGGTTAACAAAAAGAGAAAACTTTTCTCTCAGGACAACAGTATAAAAAGAAGTATAAGTTGCTACATTGTTAAAACAAAATTTTTGGATTATACAACTGCATATGTTTTCTTTAAAAATATGAATTTTTGTTTCAAATATGATGTATAGGAACTAACTATGTAAGTTTCTTTTGAAGCCGTTTGTAAGACAAAAATTTATACTGATTTATAATGTCATCACATTTGCAGTGAGAGTTACATACCCAGGTCGAAAATCCCATAGAGACCAATAGAGACCATTAGAAAAATTCTATTGGTCTCTAATGGTTTCTGTTGGAGTTTATTGGTTTCTGTTGGACCCATAGAATTGAATCCCATAGAGACCATTCAAACCATCAGAAACCAATAGAAACCAATAGCACCCATAGAAACCAATAGAAATAGAAACCAATAGGACCAATAGAAACCAATAGGACCAATAGAAACCAATAAGACCAATAAACACCAATAGGACCAATAGGACCAATAGAAACCAATAGGACCAATATAAACCAATAAGACCAATAGAAACCAATAGAACCGATAGGACCAATAGGACCAATAGGACCGATAGGACCGATAGGACCAATAGAAAACCAATGAGACCAACAGAACCCAATGGACCAATAGAAACCAATAGGTCCAATAGAAACCAATAGAAACCAACAGCTAAATCTATCTCATGCATATTCATGATTACTTTATACGTGTTCACAGAAAGTTACATTTATCATTAATTTGTTAAGCAACTTATGACAATGTACATCAATTTTGTGATTTTTATTTTCTTTCGGCGACTAATGACCAATAGATTATTTGTTTAATCATGTTACAATTTCATTCATATTTTAGCAATAGATATATTGATTATAATGATTACTAACCAAGAAACAATTCATGTATGTTTATTATATAGAATAGTACAGCCTTCAGTTAAAATAAAGGATAATCTTAAACTCACTCCAAGTGATCTATGTGATGGAGTTAATGCAATTGAGATTAGAATATACTTTTTGGGGGGGACAGTTGCTAAAGTCGATTTTGATTTATCATTATTGATTTACCAATAGAAGCCATCGGGACTTCTGGTTTCAATAGGGAATTCAGAATATGGGACCATTAGAAACCCATAGAAAGATCTCTAATGGACCAACAGGAAACCATAGAAAATATCTAATGGACCAACAGAAACCCATATAAGACATGGGTGGATGCTGGTCCAATAGAAGTTTTATGTTGGTCCATCAGCATTTCTTTCTGTGGGTTTGTGTTGGTCCAATAGATATTTATGCCTCCGCCACCGAAGGTGGTGCCGGAGGCATCATGTTTTCGGGTTGTCCGTCCGTACGTCCGTACGTCCGTACGTCCGTACGTCCGTCCGTACGTCCGTACGTCCGTCCCGTTTGACCGTTATCACAATATCTCAAGAACCATTTAAGATTTAAACTTAAGACTCGGGAATAGTATTTATCACCATAGGAAGACGATCTGATTAGATTTTGGAGTACGTAGGTCAAAGGTCACAGGTCATAGAGGTCAACTTATGAAATTCCTTGTATTGAGTTTGTTAGCGCGATATCTCAAGAACCATTTGAGATTTAAACTTCAAACTTAAGGATAGTATGTATCACCATAGGAAGACGATCTGATTAGATTTTGGAGCACGTATGTCAAAGGTCAAGGGTCACAGAGGTCAACTTATGAAATTCCATACATTGAGATTGTTATCATGATATCTCAAGAACCACTGGAGATTTAAACTTCAGACTTAGTGATAGTGTGTATCACTATAGGAAAACAATCTGATTACATTTTGGAGCACGTAGGTCAAAGGTCAAGGGTCATAGAGGTCAACTTATGAAATTCCATACATTGAGATTGTTATCATGATATCTCAAGAACGACTAGAGATGTTAAAACTTCAAACTTAAGGATAGTATGTATCACCATAGGAAGACGATCTGATTAGATTTTGGAGCACGTAGGTCAAAGGTCAAGGGTCACAGAGGTCAACTTATGAAATTCCATACATTGAGATTGTTATCATAATATCTCAAGAACCACTGGAGATTTAAACTTCAAACTTAATGATAGTGTGTATCACCATAGGAAGACAATCTGTTTAGATTTTGGAACACGTAGGTCAAAGGTCAAGGGTCACAGAGGTCAACTTATGAAATTCCATACATTGAGATCGTTATCGCGATATCTCAAGAACCACTGGAGAATTTTCACTTCAAACTTAATGATAGTATGTATCACCATATCATAATATCTCAAGAACCACTGGAGATTTAAACTTCAAACTTAATGATAGTGTGTATCACCATAGGAAGACAATCTGATTAGATTTTGGAGCACGTAGGTCAAAGGTCAAGGGTCACAGAGGTCAACTTATGAAATTCCATACATTGAGATTGTTATCATGATATCTCAAGAACCACTGGAGATTTAAACTCCAAACTTGTTTAAATTGCTCTATGGCGGAGGCATCATTTTCGACTGCGCGCAGTCAAAATTCCATCTAGTTTCTAATGGTTTCTGTGGGTCTATTATTTCACTTTCCCTATTGAAACCATTAGACACCAATAGCTCTAATGGTTTCTGATGGTCCAATAGGATCGGATCCTAATGGAATTTCGACCTGGGTATGATGATTGTAATTTGTACTATGATTATAATTTGTTTCAAGAGAGAAAAGAATAAAAACTGACCATAAAAAAAAATTAAAAAATAGCAAACTTGTCTAGAATTATAAAGCAGAAAAATCGGCGCTAGTTCAGAAGTATATCCAGAAATTGACCCGTAACTTCGGCGTGGAGATACCCTACTAAAACATACCCAATAGCCAGGATAGCAAGTAATTATTCATCAAATGATGGTCATTATTTAATAGTTGTTAGATCGAGAAATCTATGTTTCTTACCTGTTTCGTGTCATTTGGGGGAAGTATTTTTCGTAAAAACGTTGATATTAGTATACACTTTCTCACAGGTTTCATGGCAAACCGCTGCACAACAACACAAGTGCATACAGATGGTGGGTCATGGGCAGTGATATCAGATTTTCAAAATCTTACACATTTTTTTGAGATAGCGAACTTATAGCTAGGTCACACATTAACTCCAGGAACCTCCAATGGCGGCATGTCAGAGCTTCCTGGAGTTAGTCACACGTCAACTCTTGTCTCTCACAGTCTCAGTCTCATTCTAACTCTGTGTATCAATATGTGGGACATTTACTAATTCAGTTACAATCATGTACTGTGCCGTCTTGTTTTACTTGAGTACTTTAGGGTGTGGCGAATATCAAACAAGGGCTAGGTGATAATATGGAATATGATTATGATATATGATTATTATTCTAGGCCTATATATAGGCGCATGTAGGCTTAGCCTCAATTGGCACTAAAAACCTAACATAGTTTCTAATCGCCCTTTTCCACACCCGACGAGTCTTGCGCTGAAGGATCAGGAGATCGAAGTGTCGGACATATTTAATTATATCCATAGTCATATAGACAAGTCAGACACGACGTTAATGGTGAGCGTGCCAGCTGGGTTCACTTTGTCACTGACCCTTCTTTCTACTACAAAGCACTTTGAAATTGGTCAAGGAGTGATAGCAGGGCTGTCAACTTTGGGGAGCTGTTTCAAGAAAGATCGTTTGCAATTCTTTTTGGCTCAACGGGGGGGGGGGGGGGGGGGCGGGCTGTTGAGCAAAATAATTGCATACGATACGGTACGCTGGTTCATTTTACGTGTTTGGAGGGAGGTTTTTTCAGCTTGTAGCGGGAGACTCTCGCCACCACGCCCTTCCTCCCGCTCTCCCACAATCTCCCGGTTTATGAAGGAACCTCCCGCCAAACGTGTAAAATGAACCAGCATACGTATTGTATGCAATTCTTATTTTTGCTTACCGGGGGGAAGGGGGCAAGTAGTAAGCACTCAAATAATTTTTTTTTTACTCAACACCCTCCACCCCCCTGTTGAGCCAAAATAAAATTACATACGATCTCCCTCGAAGCAGCTCCCAAAAGTTGACAGCCCTAATTTAGTCTACAGCAGTCCTTATGAAAAGTGGTCCCTATTATGATTAGCGACTGTGGTAAATTGTCTATGGTTTCCTCTCTATTTATAAGGGCCGCTATTCATAAAGGATAGCTATTCATTTTGTCACGCATCATAGTGGTCCTTATGAATAATGGTCCTTATGGATAGCGAGCTTGACCCCTATAGACAGAAGGCTTTTATAGAGAGGTGGCCACTATGACATGTTTGACTGTATCCTGATACAGGAGTTCAGTCACTTCACCATCATTTAAAAGGTTTAGGGTTCAAGTCCCTGCTAAGCACTGACATCAATCTACCTTTTGCCACTCCCCACCCAGGGGCATGTATGTTTTAGCATTGCCTGCTTCGCTGCTTGGCTGTAACCTTTATTGCTTTAAGCACTGTGATCAGCATCATGCAACTGGAAAAGATAATATCAACTGGAAGTTGATAATATTATTATAAAATTATGATTTGTAAATAATGCTAATAGCTTATATTTTCTTTCAGCATGGAGTCATTTGACCCTAACACACCTTTAAATGCCCGGGAGCTCGACTACATCAGCGGCCTGCTGAGCTATTACGAATTCATCACCCTCGGTCAGAGCCTCTCTATCGCGACCTCATCACAGGAATTGACAAGGCAGTACATGAAGAATGCAAATGCTCCCAGTGAAATGCTCAACACATGGCACTCCAACCAAGTACCAGCCAAGGAGAGAAGGTTGCTGGTAAAGGCTTTGAATAAGAGCGGGCTATGTAGCCTTGCAAAGATAGTCCAAAGAGGTAAGTTGTTGAATTAAGTTGAATTTATTTTCCACATAACATGAAATAATAGTGTAAAAAATGATACAATGAAATGAAGTGGATGGATGAAAAAAAATGTATAAATATTATCTAGGTTTTCCCCTTAAACAATAACAAAGCAAATAGGTACATAAAGTAAATAAATTACAAATTGAAATTGAAATGAATTAAGTTAAAAACTACAAGACTCTTACTAATTCTTAAACACATACAATTTTACTCATAGGCGCACAAGCACACACTCATACACGCGCGCACCAGCATGCACATGCCCCGGCCCCCCCCCCCCACTCAGTGTTATTTAGGGTACGCGTATGCTTGTTCCCTCTTTTTGAAAGCACCCCCTATCTGAGGACTGCCAACATTTCCGAACCCCCCTTTCGCGGGCTTTTTGCGGGCTTTTCCTGCCTTGGAGACCCTCCTAATTTCGGAAAAATGCTCAATGTACCCCCTTAAATTCGGAATAATTTCTCAGGAGTCCAAAGAGATGAGAGAAAGAAAAAAAAAACACCCCCTTTTCAAAGAAATCTCCGGGTGAAAAGTCAAATACACCCCCTTTTTTACAATTCTCTGGACGGACTTTGTCGCACGAAAAGTACCCCTTTATCGGACATTTTGGTAACACGCAAAGTCGCATGCGGTCATTCCGACCCCGGAGTGGGGGGGCCGGGGCACATGCCTGACTTAAATTCTTTACTTGAATGTATTGCTCAATAAAAGTGAGTATATATCTCCTAATTGGATTCAATCAAACATCTCTACATCATCGGTAATTTGCCCCCAGAAAATAGCTAGATATATCATTGTGTGCTGCCCGGATGAAAGGGAATATCGAAATTAAAGTCAAATTTGCAAATTTTTTATTGTTTAATGAAATTTAATCATATGAATTATATTTAGAAAAAATAATTTATCTGTTAATGATTGATGTTAATTATGATGATGATGGTTATTTGTATTGCACTGTTGATAGCTTCTTGTATAGTGCCGGTGTTTGTCTCCAATACACCAGTTTACGGTTGTGTGCGCCATTTTAAACAAAGCCAATGACCCAGAGGTCATGTATTTATGCGTAAAATTAAGATTGCGCTCATGCAAATTATGATGACATCACTGCCTACGCGCTGCGTTGTGCGCGCACATTATCATTTGCATGGGCGCAATCTTATTTTACGCATAAATACCACTGACCTCGGGTCATTGGCTTTGTTTCAAAGCCAATGACCCGAGGTCAACTGTCTGCGCATGCGCACTGATACAACCGTAAACTGGTGTATACATGTAGACACTCAAGGGGCTTGATCTATAAATCTCTCACCAATGTTCGTAGTTAAAGCTATGGTCACAAAGTTCGTACGAACGCATCGTTCGTACAAATCTCCCTGTTTTTCCATGGTCTTCCTGAATTTCCATGGTCTCAAAACCGTTCGTACGGCGTTCGTAGCAGTTCGTAATGGCATTTGTGGCCGAGGCTTAATTTGGACAATGAATCAGGTCTTGAAATTGAAAGGAGAAATAGATTTTTATGTTGAGAGGAGCTTAATTTGCTTGAACTCGTTCAGAATCACGGGGGGGGGGGGGGGGGGGGGGGGGGGGGGGGGGAATAATGGGAAAAGGAGTTTGACATTTGGTGCTCCATGACTCAGTGGGTTAAGCTAAATAAATCCATTTAGAGCTGGAATAATACGCTCATGAATATACCGGCCAGTGATCTTAAAGATATAAAGACCAGTTCTGGTCATGCGATTGCATTGTGAAAGAAACGTTGTGGAATCGATCAGAAAAGGTTGATCATCTAGCATGTAAGTATTGGTGTGTACTGCAAGGTTCTGGAATCATCAGAATGATAATAAATTTGGCCCAGTCTTGGTAAATTTACAGGCACTGTACACAGAAAGATGTATATGGGACTACCCGACACGTGCGCAATATCTATTTGGTCCCAATAGATATAATAATTTACCAAATATATCAATTAGTAGGCGTTTTCCCAGCAAAATTTGTATCATCACGTATTAGTCAAAACCTATTCTTTCACATGATTGGAAATGAGAGCTTCCATTTCATTTTTTGAGAGGGGGGCGTTTCCAAAACTGGTCTTTACCTTTAATTCCCTTCTCATATATATTGCAGGTGAATGTCTGCGCACAGTGCAGCAAGGCATGAGCACTGATCAGCATCATGCATCATTTGACCCTAACACACCTCTAGATGCCCGGGAGCTCGACCACATCAGCGACCATCTGTGCGGTTCAGATGTATTCAGCCTCAGTCAGAGCCTTCGTTTAGAGACCCGATTAGGGTACCGGTACTTGGCAATACGGCACAAGGAGAATGCAGATGCTCCCAGAGAAATGCTCAACACATGGCACACCAACCAAGACCCAGCCAAGGAGAGAAGGTTGCTGGTAAAGGCTTTGAATGAGAACTGGCTATGTAGCCTTGCAGAGACTGTCCGAATGGGTAAGTTGATGAATTAAATTGAATTTATTTTCCACATAACATGAAATAATAGTGTAAAAAATGATACAATGAAATGAAGTGGATGGATGAAAAAAAATGTATAAATATTATCTAGGTTTTCCCCTTAAACAATAACAAAGCAAATAGGTACATAAAGTAAATAAATTACAAATTGAAATTGAAATGAATTAAGTTAAAAACTACAAGGCTCTTACTAATTCTTAAACACATACAATTTTACTCATAGGCGCACAAGCACACACTCATACACGCGCGCACCAGCATGCACATGCCCCGGCCCCCCCCCCCACTCAGTGTTATTTAGGGTACGCGTATGCTTGTTCCCTCTTTTTGAAAGCACCCCCTATCTGAGGACTGCCAACATTTCCGAACCCCCCTTTCGCGGGCTTTTTGCGGGCTTTTCCTGCCTTGGAGACCCTCCTAATTTCGGAAAAATGCTCAATGTACCCCCTTAAATTCGGAATTATTTCTCAGGAGTCCAAAGAGATGAGAGAAAGAAAAAAAAAAACACCCCTTTTCAAAGAAATCTCCGGGTGAAAAGTCAAATACACCCCCTTTTTTACAATTCTCTGGCCGGACTTTGTCGCACGAAAAGTACCCCTTTATCGGACATTTTGGTAACACGCAAAGTCGCATGCGGTCATTCCGACCCCGGAGTGGGGGGGCCGGGACACATGCCTGACTTAAATTCTTTACTTGAATGTATTGCTCAATAAAAGTGAGTATATATCTCCTAATTGGATTCAATCAAACATCTCTACATCATCGGTAATTTGCCCCAGAAAATAGCTAGATATATCATTGTGTGCTGCCCGGATGAAAGGGAATATCGAAATTAAAGTCAAATTTGCAAATTTTTTATTGTTTAATGAAATTTAATCATATGAATTATATTTAGAAAAAATAATTTATCTGTTAATGATTGATGTTAATTATGATGATGATGGTTATTTGTATTGCACTGTTGATAGCTTCTTGTATAGTGTCGGTGTTTGTCTCCAATACACCAGTTTACGGTTGTGTGCGCCATTTTAAACAAAGCCAATGACCCAGAGGTCATGTATTTATGCGTAAAATTAAGATTGCGCTCATGCAAATTATGATGACATCACTGCCTACGCGCTGCGTTGTGCGCGCACATTATCATTTGCATGGGCGCAATCTTATTTTACGCATAAATACCACTGACCTCGGGTCATTGGCTTTGTTTCAAAGCCAATGACCCGAGGTCAACTGTCTGCGCATGCGCACTGATACAACCGTAAACTGGTGTATACATGTAGACACTCAAGGGGCTTGATCTATAAATCTCTCACCAATGTTCGTAGTTAAAGCTATGGTCACAAAGTTCGTACGAACGCATCGTTCGTACAAATCTCCCTGTTTTTCCATGGTCTTCCTGAATTTCCATGGTCTCAAAACCGTTCGTACGGCGTTCGTAGCAGTTCGTAATGGCATTTGTGGCCGAGGCTTAATTTGGACAATGAAACAGGTCTTGAAATTGAAAGGAGAAATAGATTTTTATGTTGAGAGGAGCTTAATTTGCTTGAACTCGTTCAGAATCACGGGGGGGGGGGGGGGGGGGGGGGGGGGGAATAATGGGAAAAGGAGTTTGACATTTGGTGCTCCATGACTCAGTGGGTTAAGCTAAACAAATCCATTTAGAGCTGGAATAATACGCTCATGAATATACCGGCCAGTGATCTTAAAGATATAAAGACCAGTTCTGGTCATGCGATTGCATTGTGAAAGAAACGTTGTGGAATCGATCAGAAAAGGTTGATCATCTAGCATGTAAGTATTGGTGTGTACTGCAAGGTTCTGGAATCATCAAAATGATAAGAAATTTGGCCCAGTCTTGGTAAATTTACAGGCACTGTACACAGAAAGATGTATATGGGACTACCCGACACGTGCGCAATATCTATTTGGTCCCAATAGATATAATAATTTACCAAATATATCAATTAGTAGGCGTTTTCCCAGCAAAATTTGTATCATCACGTATTAGTCAAAACCTATTCTTTCACATGATTGGAAATGAGAGCTTCCATTTCATTTTTTGAGAGGGGGGCGTTTCCAAAACTGGTCTTTACCTTTAATTCCCTTCTCATATATATTGCAGGTGAATGTCTGCGCACAGTGCAGCAAGGCATGAGCACTGATCAGCATCATGCATCATTTGACCCTAACACACCTCTAGATGCCCGGGAGCTCGACCACATCAGCGACCATCTGTGCGGTTCAGATGTATTCAGCCTCAGTCAGAGCCTTCGTTTAGAGACCCGATTAGGGTACCGGTACTTGGCAATACGGCACAAGGAGAATGCAGATGCTCCCAGAGAAATGCTCAACACATGGCACACCAACCAAGACCCAGCCAAGGAGAGAAGGTTGCTGGTAAAGGCTTTGAATGAGAACTGGCTATGTAGCCTTGCAGAGACTGTCCGAATGGGTAAGTTGTTGAATTAAATTGAATTTATTTTCCACATAACATGAAATAATAGTGTACGAAATGATATAATCAAATGAAGTGGATGGATGAAGAAAAAAAATGTACAAATATCTAGGTTATCCCCTTAACCCTATATAGCCCGGGCTATTTTGAAACTGCATAGCCCGGGGGGGGGGGGGGGGGCTTCTAAGGCCCCGGCCCCCCCCACCCCCCCTATGATCTCGGCCGTGAAACGACCTATCGCCGCAAAAAATTTGCATGCATGTCAAGTGAAGTGTATAGAATAATATGGTAATTTCAATTTTTTTGAAAAATTCACTCATTTGCATAGTTATGGTAATTTATGCAAATATGGTAATTACATTCACATTTTTATCCATAAATCATATTTAAACATCAATTTATTATTTAGACCATTTGGGATAATAATACAGCCAAAAAAATTGGAAGAGCCAGGTTATTCCTTATGTTATCTATTGTTTTGATAATTTCTTATGTATTTCTTTGTTTTTTTAACTTACCGGTATGTATTTTATTTTTTATTTTTTTAATTTCATTTCCAACTATAATTCAACTATTTTGACCCCAAAATAAACACCTAAACTATAAACAAGACCAAATAACCAATGTTTTATCTCTTTATTTGAAAAATGAGATTTCCATATGTTTTGTACACAAATCACAAAAATGAGCGATTTCCGGGCTGACATGCAAAGACAAAAGGACATGTGACTTTGTAATGGTAGGTCCGATTTTCAAAAAATTTATTTCAAAAGATGCACAAGACTCGAAAGAAAAAAAGTCACATAATTTCAGTGCAAGATTTTTTTGCGAGTGGTGAGTCAACACACTGATTACTGAGCTGGGAGACATTGCCAGGCATAGCGCCATAAATCGAAACTAAAAAAAAAAAATTAAAAAAAAAAAAAAAAAAAAAAATCTTTTTTGTACTATTTCGTCGCATAGGCCGCACCCCGACTTTTTGATATTTTCTCTTCCAAAAATACTGCGGCCTATACGCCGGCAAATACGGTATGTATTTTATTTATTTTTTTTTTTTATTTCATTTCCAACTATAATTCAACTATTTTGACCCCAAAATAAACACCTAAACTATAAACAAGACCAAATAACCAATGTTTTATCTCTTTATTTGAAAAATGAGATTTCCATATGTTTTGTACACAAATCACAAAAATGAGCGATTTCCGGGCTGACATGCAAAGACAAAAGGACATGTGACTTTGTAATGGTAGGTCCGATTTTCAAAAAATTTATTTCAAAAGATGCACAAGACTCGAAAGAAAAAAAGTCACGTAATTTCAGTGCAAGATTTTTTTGCGTTAAAAAAATTATCGCCCCCCCCCCCCCTGGGCTAGATAGGGTTAAGCAATAACAAAGCAAATAGGTATACATAAAGTAATTTAATTTCTAATTGAAATTGAAATGAACTGAAAAACTACAAGGCTCTTACTAATTCTTAAACACATACAATTTTACTCAAAGGGTCACAAGTACAAACACACACGCGGCACATACATGTACATGCACATACACTCAAAGTGCCTGACTCGTATTCTAGCTTTACTTGAATGTATTGCGCAATAAAAGTGACTTATATCTGAGTCCTGATTGTAAGAGGACGTTGTACGGTGGGTTACCAACACATGTTTCCAATTTAAATTTTTTAATAGATTTTGTTGGCATTAGTATTATTTGTGTGATAATGTTTAAGCTAGCTACATGTAGGAGGTCTGACATGAATGTTGACATGGAGTGTGGGCGCTCCTGAAAGATTGTTGAAGGTTATTCCACAGCAGTTAAGGTCCTGAGAAGTATAAGAAGGCTCTGTTACCCCAAGTTGTGTGACTAAGAGTTTCTGTCAGGCAAGCTTGGTTGGCTAATTTCAGACTTTGGCTACTCAGATTAGTTTTTACAAATACCAGTACATGTATAAGATGGTGGTTCTTTTGGACCTGTGAATCAATCAAACATTTCCACATCATCAGTTTGCCCCCAGAAAATAGCTGGATATATCATTGTGTGCTGCCCGGGTGAATGGAAAAAAAAAATGAAATTTAAGTTAAATTGGCCATTTTTTAATTGCTTAATGAAATGTATATGAATATATTTTGAAGGAATAACTTATATGTTAATGATTGATGTTGATTATGATGATGATGGTTATTTGTATTGCACTGAACATTGATAGCTTCTTGTATACTAGTGCCGGCCGTGCTCACGTACCTATAATAGGCACTCATGGCACTTGCTCTATAATGTCTCATCAATATTTGTACCGTTATTAACGGTGTATAAACCGCCCTCGTGTATTAACCACACCCCTCTTTTTCGCCCTAAATTTTTTTTTTTTTTTGCCGACTCTTTTTTGCCGACTCTGTCGGCAGCAAGCCAGGTCCGTGTTAAAAAACTCACGCGGGAAGACCTTTCATTTAACTGCGAGGTGCAGCTGAATGTGTAAGATCATTAATGTAAATTAAAAAACAGTAGAGGACCTAGGATAGAACCTTGTGGTACACCATGTAATAGAAGAAAAATTGGAGGAATTATTATTATAAACTACATATTGAAATCTATCAGAAAGATTACTTTCAAACCAAGATGACAGACAAATTTGAGTGTTGTTCTAGTTTCCAAGTGGCGAGTCAACACACCGATTACTGAGTTGGGAGACATTGCCAGGCATAGCGCCAGGTGGAGGGGTATAAATCAAAACTTTGATTTTTTTTTTTTTGGTGTACCCTGTATAAGACGCACCCCCGACTTTGAAATTTTTTTGGCGGCAAAAAAGTGTGGTTAATACACCTGGTTAATTACGGTAGTTAATTCGAACAATGAATCAGGTATTGAAATTGAATTGAGAAATTGATTTTTATGTTGAAAGGAACTTTGTTTGAACTCGTTCAGAATTATGGGTACTATGTCATGGGGGAAATACAATGAAAAAAGGAGTTTGGCATTTGGTGCTACATGAATCAGTGGATTAAACTAAACATTTAGAGCTGGAATAATACACTCATGAATATATACCGGCCAGTGATCTGGATTACCTTCTCATTGCAGGCGGATGGCATGCCCTTCAACTATCAGCACCCTACCCCTCCCGCCCAAGGAAACGAACCCATACCCAAACTCTTGCAGGGCATGAGACCAATACCCCTGGAGCCAATCAACCATCATCAGCATTCTACCCCTCCCACCCAAGCATACAAACCCAAACCCAAACCCAAACTCTTGCAGGGCATGAGACCAATACCCCTGGAGCCAATCAACCATCATCAGCACCCTACCCCTCCCACCCAAGCATACAAACCCAAACCCAAACCCAAACTCTTGCAGGGCATGAGACCAATAACCCTGGAGCCAATCAACCATCATCAGCATTCTACCCCTCCCGCTCATGCAAACAAACCCAAACCCAACCTCTTGCAGGGCATGAGACCAATACCCCTGGAGCCAATCAACCATCATCAGCATTCTACCCCTCCCGCCCCAAGGTACGAACCGTCGCCAATCCCCCGCAACAACCCGACATAGTACCCATGCAAATACCCCAGCAAACCAGCTATGAGATAACGGAGATCATGCTAAGGGACGTTTCCAACAAGCTGGGTGCCGAGTGGAGGACGGTCGGAACTTATTTAGACTTTGACAACTCTCAGATTGAGGTTATGCTGGAAGAATATCGAACCGTTAAGGTACTTCAACTTTTACATGAAGTTCTAGGGTAGTTTGCTGAAAAATATTTTGACTGTATTGTTAACTTTCATGTGTACTTTCATATTGGCTCTCAAAGAACCAACAAAAAAATCTACACACCTATAACTTTTGGTGATGCTGCCCCCGGTTCTAGGACACCTACCCCCTGGACATCCACCCTCTAGGAGGCCTACGCCCCGAGACAACTACCCCCTAGGACAAGTACCCCCCCCCCCCCCCGACAACCATCCTCTTGGACAACTACCCCCCGGACAACTATCCGAGGGGGTAGTTGACTGGGGTTGGATGTCCAGGGGGTAGGTGTCCGGATGCGGCTGCCCTAGTGTTCCGTCTTCCATAGGGTGAGAGGCCATATTTGTGTAGATGGTTTGTGTGCGCTCTATAGGCCACATTTCTCAAGGGATTTTGTTCAAATTTTGAACGAATGTGTATCTTGGTATGATCTACAGGCCTATAGATTTTGGTGATGCTGCCTCCAGTGTTCCGTCTTTTATAGGGTCAAAGATCATATTTTGATAGCAGTCTTGTGTGCACTCTAGTTAGCGGGTCTAACTGCATCTTTCCTTGACGGATCTCTTTCAAATATTGTATGGAGATGTATCTTGGTATAATCTACACATCACAACTTTTGGTGATGCTGCCCCCAGTGTTCCGTCTTCTATAGGGTAAAAGGCCATATCTTTGTGAATGGTTTGTGTGCGCTCTATGGGTCACATTTCTCACAGGATTTTGTTTAAATTTTGAACAAAGGCGTATATTGGTAAAATCTATGCACCTGTAGTTTTGGGTGATGCTGCCTCTAGTGTTCCGTCTTTTATAGGGTCAAAGATCATATTCTGATAGGTGACTAGTGTGCACCAGTCAGTGTCCAATGTTTTATCGGGTCAAAAGGTCACATTTTGGTGGGTGCATGTCTAGTGTGCGCTCTGCAGGTCATATTTCATGACAGACTTCTTTCAAGTTTTGTATAGAGATGTACTTTGGTACAATCTACATCTCTCCCTTTGGTGATGCTGTCCTCATTGTTCCACTCTTGATAAGGTCAAAGGACATTTGTCCTGTTTGTGCACTGTTACTGCCACATTTCTAGAAAGATTTCTTTCAAACTTTGTATGGAGGTGTATCATGATCAAATCTACACATCTTTAGTGTTTGGTGATGCTGCCACCAGTGTTTGTATATTATAAGGTCAAAGGTTATATTTTGGCAGGTGTCTTTTATGCGCTCTAACTGTCACATTTCTTGACAGTTTTCTTTCAAATGTTGTATGGAGGTGTGTCTTAGTACAATTTACACATCTTTAGTGTTTGGTGATGCTGCTCCTAGTCTTGACAATTGGCTGAGCCACAAGTGGCGACCTCTCTACCTCATCCTTTTGTTTCAGGGAGGGGAGAGGCGATCTTTGTCCCTCCTTCGAACTGAAGGATGACACAAAATGGCTGCCACTGCCGGGGGATACATTCGCATTGCACAGCAATACAGATTGCGATATGTATGTCGGTGGATAATTCAGCAACGTTACGCCGCCGCCGCCGCCGCATCATATTCGTGTGTGCGCTCTAACTGCCACATTCCTTGACAGATTTCTTTCAAATTTTGTACAGAGGTGTATTGTGTTATAATCTCAACACCTATAACTTTTGGTGATGCTTCCCCCAGTGTTCCGTCTCCTATAGGGTAAAAGTCCATATTTTGTGGATGGTTTGTGTGCGCTCTATAGGCCACATTTCAAAAGGGATTTTGTTCAAATTTTGAACGAAGGTGTATCTTGGTATAATCTACAAGCCTTTAGATTTTGGTGATGCTGTCTCTAGTGTTCCGTCTTTTATAGGGTCAAAGATCATATTCTGATAGGTGACTAGTGTGCACTCTTGTGTGCAGTCTAACTGTATCATTCCTTGACAGATTTCTTTAAAATTTTGTAGGGAGGTGTATCTTGGTATAATCTACACACCTATAACTTTTGGTGATGCTGCCCCCAGTGTTACGTCTTCTATAAGGTCAAAAAGTCATATTCTGGTGGGTGTTTAGTGTGCGTTCTGCAGGTCATATTTCATGACGGATCTCTATCAAAATTTGTATGGAGAATTAGATATGTATCTTGGTACAATCTACACTTTTTGGTGTTGCTGCCCTCATTGTTCCGTCTTTTATATGATCAAAGGTCATATTTGTCTTTTATGCGCTCTAACTGCCACATTTCTTGACAGATTTCTTTCAAATTTTCTACCCAGATGCATTATACTCTAATCTACACACATATTGTTTTGGTGATGCTGCTCCTAGTCTTGACAATCTCTACGTCATCCTTTTGTTTCAGGGTGGGGAGAGGGGATCTTTGTCCCTCCTTCGAACATAAGGATGACACAAAATCGCTGCCACTGCCGGTGTATACATTCACATTGCGCGGGAATACAGATTGCGATATTTCTAGTTCTAATTGAGTTTTTGATCCATGAAAATGGAAAGAATACAAAATAGATGAAAACCTGCACTAAAGATATAAATATTGAAAATATTTTTAAAGGGCATTTGTATTTGTAAGGGAGAAGCTCGAACATACCCATTTCTCATTTTCTGGTAAGCAAAAACAACTCCATCAAAAGCTTGTTCAGGTATGGCGTATGTATACCACCACAAAAAAGCCGCTGCAATTTTTTTTAATGTGTAAAATGACGGGCAGCTGCATGTCGTATTCACTGGGCTCTGTGTTTCAAGATATAGAGAAATGTCAAGGGTATTACACTTTATGTACCAGTACTCATTAAAAAAAAGCACTTTGATTTTGCCATGTCATATCTTAACAAGGCCTATCTGCTTACACTGTAGGTAAAGTCATTTTTAAATGTTCATTTTATGTTCTGTGTCATCTTTCCATGCAGGAATGTATCTTCCAGATGTTACTAAAATGGCGAAACAGCAACGGTGTCGAGGCTACAAAGGAAAAATTAAAGAAGGCGCTGAGGCGATCGTATCGTGCAGATTTGACAGGTTTCATTGACAAATCTGATGATTGAATCCTAGCTAACTGACAAAAAACTTTGATGATATGACAGATTGATATGAAGCAATTCCAGAGTCTCCTGTACGAGGTCAAGAGGACCATGTACACATCATTTTTACTAACATACCGGGGTATTCATTTTCAAGGATGTTCCTTTCATAGTGACGGGTTATTCCATTAACCAGTTATTAGTGAATGAACAACAATACTTAGAATCTGGTCTGCATACATTACTTGTTGCCATGTTGGGCAAGCCTTGGGCGACAGCTTCTTCGGGAGGTATCCATGCTGCTAACGCTTCATGAAAAATTATTCAAGTCACTGAAAATATAGAAACCGTGATGGGATCAAAGCGAGAAACTCCAGTTTGGCATTTCCTATGGAAGTCAAGTGAGCTGTTTACACCTAATGAATTGAACATTGATGTCATGTTTCAAGTTTCAATTGATCGATGACTGCTAGTAAAGAAATCATTTTATTTCATTTTCATTTATTTATTTCACTCTCTTTAAAATAACATCAAAGTTATATACATGTTTGTTGATTGTCAACATAAGATTAGGAAGTGGAGAATCGTGAAAGCCAAAATTGGCCTGATGAGAATGATCCCCAAATAAATACTTAGCATAAACAAGATACAAACTTATTTTATATAAAAAAAACATAATACATACATTCAAAACAACAGAGGACAGAGAAAAGATTAAGATAACATAAGGTAAAGACAATTACAGGAAGAGAGAGAAGATAAAAAGAAGGAAGTTACAACTTGAATTTTACATTCTTCATAATAAATGACAATGTCATTTTGTTCCGCTTAAATAACCATATTAATACATATATTTGAAGCATGTCAATGTATTGCACTGTTTTATGTCATCTGGCAAACTTCCAAATTAATGGGCCATGGAAAAATGTGGAATCTTTAGAGATCTTTAGAGGTTGAAGTATGGTGTAAAGGTAAATGAAAATTTAGAGCGTGTCTAGTACTATATTCGTGGATTTGACAATTCATTGTGAAACATTCCCTAAATGAATCTGGTAAAGGTATATCTTTCAAAAGCATGAACATAAAAGTGGCAACATTTAATAATCTTTTGTCATGGATTTGCATCTGTTTAAAAAGAGGATCACAATGACAAAGGCAATTTGAATGAGTTATTTTACTTCGGCCTATTACTCCTTTTCGTTACTCATGTATTCTATTAAGATTGGTCTTTGATGTGAACCCAAAAAACATATTACGGTAATTCAATTGTGAAAATACAAGGAGTAACTAGTACAATAGTTTTTAATATTTTTTGCTGTAAAGAATGTAACCTATAGAAAACACCAATATTCTTTGAAAGTTTTTTACAGAGATCATTTATATGGTAGTTCCATAACAGTTTATTGTCTAAGTAGATGCCCCAAAATTTAATATTTCAAACCTTTATTATTTCTTTATTCCTATAATGTAATCTAAAATCCATATTTCCAATGTGGTAAGTTCCAAAAATCATGTAATTTGTTTTTCCAGTATTCAAAATAAACTTATTAGCATCCATCCTTTGACTTATATTATTTAACTGCGTGTTCACCAATTGGTACAGTGAATATAAGTTTTTACCTGATGAAAAAATACTTGTATCGTCTGCAAATAAAATAAAATTACCGGTAATCGACTGAGTGCAAAGTATGATGTCATTTATATAAATAAGAAAGAAAATTGGTCCTAAAATAGATCCCTGGGGCACTCCATATCTAACTGTTTTATATGTATATGCTCGTAAGTAAACAACCAAACTACCAGCTACACTAGTACTGAGTCATCGCGCCTTCAATTCATATTGGTTTTGAGTGCATCTTGTATGTGTGCGACACTGAAAGACTAAGCTGTAGGCCTGCAGACTTAGGCTCAAGATTGCAAGATTATGTGATCTAATTCAATGATTTTTGTGCATCTTGAAATACTGGCCTGTTTGTAAAAGAATTAAGAGTTCCTGATTTTTTTATAAAAGCAATACTGGTATCTTTGTAAATAATACCTTTAAATAAGGAGTTAAACCTCTTTAGAAATCTCTTCTTTTTTTTTTCTTCGTCATTTTTTTTTCTTCTTTTCAGGTGGGCTGTATCTAATACAGACCACCTTATATTTTTGTTAAAATCGCCTTTATTATCAGGTGGGCTGTATCTAATACAGACCACCTTATATTTTTGTTAAAATCGCCTTTCTTTATTATTTATCAGGTGGGCTGTATCTAATACAGACCACCTTATATTTTTGTTAAAATTGCCTTTATTATTATTTATTTATTTATTTATCAGGTGGGCTGTATATCGTACAGACCACCTTATAATTTCGTTAGAATTGCCTTTATTTATTTATTATCAGGTGGGCTGTATAACGTACAGACCACCTTATAATTTCGTTAGAATTGCCTTTATTTATTTATCAGGTGGGCTGTATAACGTACAGACCACCTTATAATTTCGTTAGAATTGCCTTTATTTATTTATTTATTTATTATTTATTTTTCTTATTTCTAACCACTTTTTTGTTGGCAGGATAACTTGAAAATGGCTCAATCAAAAGCCTTGAAATTTAGCACACATATGTATAGGCATATGTACAAAGCACAATAACGTTTTCAACATTAAACATTACTGATGACGTCATCTAGGCGCCATTTTGTAAAATTTTACGAAAATCAACTTATGATCATATCTTCATAACCAAAAGTTATTTCTCATTCATATTTATCATGATCAAGGTCAATATCCGTCCGGTCAATTTCAGGTCAAAGAACGCGCGCGTGCGCGTACGTCCGCGCGTCAATGCGCGCGCAAAATTTTAAAATGCTCAAAATCGTCTCAAAATCATTTTGCATACGTTTGAGGCCATTTTAAGCATTTTATAAAAAATCGCGCACACGCACATGCGCGCGCGTTTTCGCGCGTAAAACTATTACACAACATAGAATCGCCATTTTTTTTTCTTCATAATATTCTACATATTTTTACAAACAAATAGATGCCATGGTTGTTTCTTTATGACTATTAAAAACGGAATGATCGACCGTTAAACAAAATTTCCGTGCGCGCGAGCTCTTGTAATACATAGCATATATGGGCAAAAACATGCCTATACAAAATACATTGTAGCTCTTTAGAATGCAAGGTGACGCCAATTTTTTTCATATTTTAATAGAGTATGATTCGGAGATATTTGTTCATGTCTCATTTGATCCTCAATTAACTCATGACGTCATCATAATGGCCTCCGAACTCAAAATTCCAATTTGCATATTATGACGTCAGCATATTTATAGAAAATTGATTGTATCTCTGTAAATATTGATCGATTTTCTTCCAAATTTTGATACGTTCTAGCTGAGACAATTTTCTACAGATGCAGTTCTAATTATTCTTTATTTTGACAAAGGCATCATGGCGTATTTTAGCGATTAAAGGAGGCATGTCAATTTTCACATTTAGCGTGTATTCTCTATGGGACATGACTTTTTTTCAAAACTTCATTCTACATTCCCGTCTTTCGCGAGCAATATCTACGTCGTTTTAGCTTCATTTACGCTGAACTCCGAATATGTTGTAGCTGAGACAAAAAGCTATTTCAAATGTACCCTTTATTTTGTCTCAATTTTTTGTTGGATCAGCCCACCTATACTTGTTCCAAACAAGTATTACAAATCTAGTATATTTTTCTTATTTCTAACCACTTTTTTGTTGGCAAGATAACTTGGAAATGGCTCAATCAAATGCCTTGAAATTTGGCATACATATGTATAGGCATATGTACAAAGCACAATAACGTTTTCAATATTGACCTTCACTGATGACGTCATCTAGGCGCCATTTTGTAAAATTTTAAGAAAATCAACTCATGATCATATCTTCATAACCAAAGGTTATTTCATATTCATATTTATCACGATCAAGGTCAATATCCGTCCGGTCAATTGCAGGTCAAAAAACGCGCGCGTGCGCGTACCTCCGCGCGTCAATGCGCGCGCAAAATATTAAAAGGCTCAAAATCGTCTCAAAATCATTTTGCATACGTTTTAGGCCATTCCAAGCATTTTATAAAAAATCGCGCACACGCGCATGCGCGCGCGTTTTCGCGCGTAAAACTATTACACAACATAGAATCGCCATTTTTTTCTTTCATAATATTCCACATAATTTTACAAACAATTTAATACCATTTTTGTCTCTTTATGACTTTTAATAACGGAATGATCGACCGTTTAACATAAATTTCTGTGCGTGCGAGCTCTTGTATTACATAGAATATACGGACAAAAACATGCCTACACAAAATCCATTGTAGCTCTTTAGGATGCAAGGTCACCCTAATTCTTTTTTCATATTGTGATAGAATATAAATTGGAGATATGATTTCATGTCTTATTTTACCCTCAATTAACTCATGACGTCATCATAATTGCCTCCGAACTCAAAATTTCAATTTGCATATTATGTTGTCATCATATTTTTGGAAAATTGATAGTATCTCTCTTAATATTGATCAATTTTCTTCCAAAATTGTATATGTTTTAGCTGAGACAATGTTCTACAAATGCAGTGGTCACAATTTTTAATTTTGACAAAAGCATCATGGCGTAATGTTGCGTTTAAAGGAGGAATGTCAATTTTTCACATTTTGCGTGTATTCTCTATGGGACATGAGTTTTTCTCAGAACTGGATTCTACATTTCCGTCTTTTGCGAGCAATATCTCCGTCGTTTTAGCTTCGTTTACGCTGAACTTCGAGTATGTTGTAGCTGGGACAATTAGCTATCTCAAATGTGCCATTCATTTTGTCTTAAGTTTTAGTTGGACCAGCCCACCTATACTTGTTCCAAACAAGTATTACAAATCTAGTTATTAAATATTTTTCTTATTTCTAACCACTTTTTGTTAGCAAGATAACTTGAAAATGGTTCGATTAAATGCCTTGAAATTTGGCACACATATGTATAGGCATATGTACAAAGCACAATAACGTTTTTAACATTGACCTTCACTGATGACGTCATCTAGGCGCCATTTTGTAAAAATCAACTCATGATCATATCTTCATAACCAAAAGCTATTTCTCGTTCATATTTATCATGATCGAGGTCAATATCCGTCCGGTCAATTTCAGGTCAAAAAACGCGCGCGTGCGCGTACGTCCGCGCGTCAATGCGCGCGCAAAATTTTAAAATGCTCAAAATCGTCTCAAAATCATTTTGCATACGTTTTAGGCCATTCTAAGCATTTTATAAAAAATCGCGCACACGCACATGCGCGTGCGTTTTCGCGCGTAAAACTTTTACGCAACATAGAATCGCCATTTTTTTGTTTCATAATATTCCACATATTTTTACAAACAAATTGATACCATGTTTATCTCTTTATGACTATTAATGACGGTATGATCGACCGTTAAACATAAATTTCCGTGCGCGCGAGCTCTTGTAATACATAGCATATATGGGCAAAAATATGCCTATACAAAATCCATTGTAGCTCTTTAGGATGCAAGATGACCTCAATTTGTTTTCATATCTTGATAAAGTATGAGTCGGAGATATGATTTCATGTCTCATTTGACCCTCAATTAACTCATGACCTCATCATAATGGCCTCCGAACTCAAAATTTCAATTTGCATATTATGACGTCATCATATATTTGGAAAATTGATTGTATCTCTGTAAATATTGATCAATTTTCTTTCAAATTTTAATATGTTCTAGCTGAGACAATTTACTACAAAAACATTTAATTCGACAAAGGAATCATGGCGTATTGTTGCGATTAAAGGAGGCATGTCAATTTTTCACTTTTTGTGTGTATTCTCTACGGGACATGACTTTTTCTCAAAACTGGATTCTACATTCCCGTCTTTCGCGAGCAATATCTCCGTCGTTTTAGCTTCGTTAAAAATGAACCATGAGTATGTTGTAGCTGAGACGATTAGCTATCTCAAATGCGCCCTTCATTTTGTCTCAAATTTTAGTTGAACCAGCCCACCTATACTTGTTCCAAACAAGTATTACAAATCTAGTTTATTTTTCTTATTTCGACCCACTTTTTTGTTAGCAAGTTAAGTTGAAAATGGCTGAATCAAATGCCTTGAAATTTAGTACACATATGTATAGGCATATAAAGAAAACACGTAAAGGTTTTCAACCTTGACCTTGACTGATGACGTCATCTAGGCGCCATTTTGTGAAATTTTCTGAAGATTTACTCATGGTCATATTTTCATAACGGTAAATCATTTCTCATTCATATTTATCATGATCAAGGTCAATATCAGTCCGGTCAATTTCATGTCAAAAAACGCGCGCGTGCGCGTACGTCCGCGCGTCAGTGCGCGCGCAAAATTTTATAATGCTGAAAATCTTCTCAAATTTTTTTTGCATACGTTTAAGGCCATTTTAAGCATTTTATAAAAAATCGCGCACACGCGCATGCGCGCGCGTTTTCGCGCGTAACACCATTACAAAACATAGAATCGCCATTTTTTTTCTTTTATGATATTTCCCATATTTTTACAAACAAATTGATACCATTTTTATCTCTTTATGACTATTATTAAGGGAATGAGCGTTCGCTTAACATAAATGTCCGTGCGCGCGAGCTCTTGTAATACATAACATACATGGGCAAAAA